TCCAGGCCATTTTTCAGTATTCAGCGCTGCGGTACTTTGACTGACATTTATTCCGTCATACAACGCTGTACTGAAATGAATTTTATACAATTTTTTAGGGACAGATAGAGCTTTCTTTTGGTGGTATTTAATCACCACTGCGGTTTTTATTTTTTACTATATTAAAGGAGAAATTACAGAAAATTAAAAAAAAACTGTTTCCCCTATATTAAATTATAAAACATTTATTAGTACCCAATTTGTTGGTAAAATATAAGAGACGGGGTCATGCCGGGTAAAAAGACACCAAACATGTCAAGCCTTAAAATTGCGCGTACGCGCTGAACCTCAAAAAACTACAATACCCAAAATTGGCCAAAGGCGACGTTTGTAAAAGTTGTTACCGCTCATCAGTTTAGTGTTATCAGTGATTGATGTCCCTAAAATGATTGCTCTCACTCCGACACTTGCGGCGATATGTAGCATGTTTAGCGCAATTGTCGTTTTCGCTCGCTGGCGCATCTGACGCATATTTACGCTTATATGTGCATACACGTGGGGGTGGGGGACTTAACAATTTTGGGGGTTTTTTTTACTTTTTTTATATGTGACTTTTATTTTATTTTTACTTTTTTTATTTATATATATTTATTTTTTTTACACTTATTGTTATTGCTATTACATAGGGGGATAACAATCCCCCTGTATAATAGCAAAGGCACACTGACAGGTCCTCTTTATGGAGACATTAGGGGTCTCTAGGACCCCTAATGTCACCTGGGCACCCCAAAAGAAGCTGATGAAGCAGAGATCTGGTTTGCGGGTTTGCGGCAGATCAAATCACCCCATACAACCGATCGGCGCGTGCGAGCAGGAAAAAAACCCGCAAATGGTAGTCTGCCGTCCGTCTGTTTTAACCTCCTGCCGTCCGGACGGCAGGAGGTTAAAGAACATACTGCCCTCCTTTAACTCTGGTAACCTCTACAAGTAATATGTAACTGGGTGAAATTTCATAATTGTGCTGTTCCTTACTGAAGTCCCAAAATGTGCGGGAGCACTACTACTAGCTTAAACTAGCAAGAAAAAGAAGGAGGGTAGGAGTGCAACAATCTGTTTTTTTCCTGTTCAGTCTTACAGTTGGACACCCCGGTCCAACCAAAATAGGAGCAGCACACTGGCCACCATTGACCACACACCCTGGGAGTGCGCTAATCAATCAGTCTCATCTGAACCTTCTAGCTTAAACTAGCACTTGGTAAGCCTCACTATTTAAAGAACATTTTTACAAAGGCTGCCCTTGCAGACTCACCAGTTTTCATACTTTTTAAGGCATGGACTAAAAATAAAAATCCAAAAATCTGACTTTTCTGACTTTCATACTTGTTTCAGGTCAGTATCTCAATGTATTATAGCCAAAGACAGTAAATTCTCTATTATATTTAGAAATTTTATATTTAGACAAATGTTATATTTAGAAATAAATCAGCCATGACAACTTCTCTATTTCTCTTAGCACCTATTTTAATAACGGATCCCCAGAGAACATGGAACTGGAGGAAGCCTGCTGATATAACCTTCTGACTAGATGTGTCTGCTTGTGTTGGCTCTACTTTATTTTCCCAAAGAACCAGATTTATGTTGTACACTGACTCACCTAGAAGGCAGAATGGTGGCCAAAATAAAGAATGATGAAAGCTCAACCACCTTAAGCAGTATCTCACTTCTCAAAAATACTGTCTTTTCATGCCTAGAGCTTTAATTCAGTAGCATTGATGAAGTGAATGTAAAACCCCACTGACTTACACTTTGCAGAGGCTGCATGGCAGAACTGTACAGTATATAAAATTGAATTATTTTAAGCAGTAGACAAGTGAGCATGATCCCATATGTAAGCCCAGTCAACACTTTATAAAACTGTTATGTTCACAATATCTGGCACATTGCAGAATTATACCATAAACTTGTCATTGTCACTGATTATTGAATTCAGTGCATTAAATCTTTTGCCATAACAATCTTTAATTTTCTTAATAGCAAATCATAAAAAAAATACTATTGCAACTGCTTAGACATATGCACCACTTAAAAAGCTTGCATACCTTTTCTTGATACTGCCGCCGTGATGAATCTAGAGACTGAATAAGCGCAGTGGCATGGCCAATAAACATGGCATAGCAAGTGGCACCAACAATCATGCTTAGCATAGTAAGCCACACATCCGACATTCCCACTGGTGCCTGCTGACCATACCCAATGCACAACATGTGACTCATGGCTTTGAAAATGGCATGGGAGTACTGCTTTCCCCATGAAGCATTCTGCAACATAAAGAAACATTATTTTTATCTAATTATAATCACAGGCCTAAAGAGAATTGTTATGCGCTTGGTTTTTGCAAACCTTGTGTAACATCAGCTAACACAAAAAGGAAAAAGTAATTTATTGCAGTAATTTTGTTGCAAATGATTCTGAGCACAATCAAACTTATAAATCTGTACATTTTCCTTGAACAGCTGGACCAGTCATACCCAGAAACTTTTCAGTGTCCATTAGCAGCATTTCTGTAATGTGCACAAATTCTGCTTAGCTTGTGTCTAACTATGACATCTACCTACAGGAGTCCATTCCCCTGCTAATCTGAAGAGATTATGCGATCATAGTCAGCAGGGTTTAACAGTAGCATTCATTTCAGTTCAGGATTTATTTTTGTGGTGCAAATTGCATGAGCCGTAAAGTAATACGTACAAGGATTTAGATTTTTATACAAATTATATAATGCCTAAAAGGAAAACAAGTCTGTGGATTTAGATTCTTGATGCTAAGAACACATACCCTAGTCATGGATGCATTTTACAACCAAAAAGCTCAAACCCACTCAGCAAAATATATTATGAAAATAAGACAATAATCTTCAACATCACTTAATAATTCCAAAAAACCCCAGAATGAAAACACTGGAAAATGTGAGGTTTTAAAGGCTGAAAATATATGGGAAAGGGAAGAATTAATGTCAGTAGATGCTAACAAATACAGTTAAAGCTAGCTGTTTTAAATGCTATATGCTTTCTGACATGAGTAAAAACAGAAAATAAATCACAAGAATACACATGAAGATGATATAAAATATTGCTAAATCGAAGCTGAAATAAAATATGACGCTGTCTAAAGAATTTCATCTTTTATAGGGTGATTCCATTCTCTGCTGTCTGTATTTTATGTGTTGAAGTGATGGAGCCAATATCATCTCAGCATAGTATTTATGTGAATTGCTCTTCTGCATCACACAAGTGTGAGGGGAAAAATGATGCAGTCTAAAAAAATCTCTTCTGCGGCAATTTTTGGTGGATTGCTTTTTTTCATTTGTGTGGCCAGAAAAAAGTGATTTGCATTAAAAGCTACACTGGGATAAAGTAATTTTTATCAGACCAGAACAGAAAATTAGCAGGACAATTTTAATTAACAAATCATAGCTTGTGTGATCCTAACTTGGGTGCTTAGGCACAGTTTTGCACTGAAGGCGGTGTGGTGATTGGCCATCCTAGTAAGCGCTTATTGCTGCACTAAAGTGCACCCAATTTGCTGCATACCACAGCACAGATACTGACAGGACTATTCACTAAAGGGTGAAGAGTTTGGAGAAGGCAGGAGAAGTGAACAATCTAGGACAAAATAGCTGATTTGGAAACAAAATCTCCAATTCAACTCACTTTCCAGTTCAGCTGTTTTCCTAGATTGTTCACTTCTCCTGCCTTCTCCAAACTCTTCACTCTTTTGTGAATAGACCTGTGAACGTAAACAGCCCCTTCCCAGCAAATAGACAGGATGTTATATGTACTTTACACAACAGTGAACTGCACTAAAGACAGATGTACTTGAGTCCTAATGAAAATAGAGCATGTTGTACAGTGATCTTGCCAACACAAATTGGTCTTCATTTGTTGTAGGGTGACAACTCTCTGTCCCAGTCTCTCAATTGTGTGCTCACATTGTTACCTTGTGGTCACTATCAGGAAGCCAGTCCAGAGCAATGTTGTGCAGCTGGCACTGGAGCAAAATATTATACAGAAAAGTCTACTTTAAGGTACTGTTGTACACATAGCAATAAGGAGAGTCAGTGTAATTGTTACTGGAAACATCACTGCAAATCAAGCTCGTCTGTTGGTATCTTGATGTCTGACAGGGCACAGGTAGAATAGAACAGCAGACCTATGCCCACATTGCAAAGCCCATAGAACTAGAGAACAAGAAACTATTCTAATGATGACATAAATACCTAGAATAGCAACCAATGAGGCTAAATGAGAAAAAAAAGTGCATGGCCAGCTTAACTCTTCCACATTCTATTCAAATCTAGAAAACAAAGTTCTGGGTATATATTCATTTAAAGTTTTATATAGCTGAAACAAAGCTAGGTATTGCTTTGTATGGCAACATTTTTGGGCACAAACTCAAAAATACCAACTGTGATGATTTGATTGCCTGTAAGCAAATAATGCTTTAATTACCGTTAATAGTAAGGAACTATCCGGTGAAGGAGGAACAGTTTTCGATATGTCTTTTCACCGATAAACGTAAAATCATTAGATAAACATTAGTTAAAACGTTAAAGAGATACTACATAAAAACACCAATGCTACTAGACGAATTATGTGACCAGTAATACTAGAATTACCAGAACAACTCACCTGCATGTGGTTCAGTGACACCCAGCAGTTGTCAGGAAAATCTTGCAACATGGGCACTAAAAACTGCAAGCAGCCATCCCAGTGGCAAAGCAGCAACATCATGCCAATCAGATTAACAATGCGTACCACAGCACTTGCCAGGTCATAAGTCATGTGGAAAATCTACAGAGAAAAATATTCACAATTAACAAATCAGCACGAAAGGACGGAGCCAAACCAAGGTGTGCATGACAATGGTAGCAATCAGGTGAAAGACATAATCCATTTGAGCCGGTTTATGTAACTGTCTTGTGTTGCAGAAGCAAAGAATAAATATTAAATTATATATATTTTTTCTTTTCTATATATCATTATTATCTATAGTACCAAAATCCAACATTTGGAACACTAGATCATGCAGGTGGCAAAAGCGGAAAACTTACCTCCTCCCACTGATGAATATACCGAATGAGCCTGGAAAGTCTTAGGAGTCGCAGCAAACTCAGCACTTTAGTGAAACGGACAATTCGTAAGGCCCTGGCAGTCTTATAAACCTCTGAGTCAATACGTGTTTCTACAATAAGAAATATATAGTCCACAGGGATGGAGGATACAAAGTCCACAAGGAACCAACTTTTTAAATAACGAATCTTGATGCGTTGTGGATCGAGGATAATTTCTGTATTGTCCTCTACTACTATGCCTGTTCGAAAATTCAGTACTAGATCCACAAGGAAAAAGGTGTCAGAGACAACATTAAACACAATCCAAGCTGGGGTGTTCTCCTCCTTAAAGAAAGTGATACCCACTGGAATAATAATGAGATTTCCCACCATCAGTAGTAACATAGTGAGGTCCCAGTAAAACCTGTAAGTGAAAGAATACACTGTAAGTGCATGCTTAACAGATTCACACAACAGCATATTTAAATTTGGGAAATACATTTATGTTACAAGGAAATGTATGGTCGACACACTATCCCTACTTGATGCATTCATAAAGCAAGAATGCTCTGGAATGAGGTACAAACAGTACATGGCTATCAGTTACAGGATGTCCTTCACGTTCACTTTTTTATCATATAAAAAAAATGAAAACCTATGAGATGGAAGTGAAGAGTACAAAAATGAAAGCTTGAGCCAAAAATCACATTAATCATTGTGGAACAAGGCCAGCAATGTCAGTATCATGTGTAAAGAGCTTGTACTTGAAATTAGGCCATTAATACCGGATGGAAGAGATGGAAGGTACTTATTAAAAAGGATTTTCAATTTTCAAAAAAAAGTTTAAAAACCATTAAAAGTAAGAGTAATGGAAAGCATCATGCCCATCCCCACACACATGCTGGAACCTAGATGATCAGTTTAAAGAGCCTGCACCTCAGAACTGGTTATTTTTCCTGATACAGACAGCCATTGATTTCAACTGGGCTTCTACAGCTTAAGCGGCACTGTTTTGTTTTTCTAGCACTGAAAACAGACCCACCATGATGGCAATTGCAGCACTGAATGTGTCTCCAGTCTTTTGACTGACAGGTTTGGCACAGTTTCTAACCCTGTGTGCTGGTCTTCCACTAAAGGGATTTTGTATTTAATTGACTGTCACTCTATTGATATGCAGATTAAGCACGGTTTAACATGAAAGGAGTCAGTGACCAGGTGTGAGAATGATTGACAGGTAGGTGTTGCCCCAGAAAAGCTGTCACGGTCTGGTCAGTGCTCTTCTCTCCCCAGGAGAGTCATGAGGCAAGGTGGCAGCATGTGTGTACAACTCTAGGAAAGTGTCTGTTCTGGCCTTGAAATGAGGCACTTTGACTAGACTGATGCCTGAGGGGAAAGCTTTGTTCTACGGGGGAAAAAAACTAAGCAATCCAAATACCAAGCTGATGCCTGTGAGAGAGTTTGGGTCTGTGCAGTTGGATTCTGTTGTGTTCTGTTGTATTGATGTGATTCAAAACCCCCTGAAAGGCAAACCTGCTGTAAAGTAATGTTAGCTAAATATAAATGGGCAGTAAAGTCATTAAACGCAAGCTAAATTTTACAACTAGTGCTCGGAGCAGTCAAAAGTGGAGTCTGCTGATCCTTGCTGAAATGTGATGAACTGGGTATGCTCTATGATAAGGAGATATTGAAACAGCATATTGTGCTTGGCAGGTGTTCTGTATCTGAAAGCCTTAAAGGGAATGCAGCCCTTTCAGGCTTGCAGATACAGATTAAAGTGGCATAGCACCAATTTGCTTGAACTGCGCAAGCTGCTGGGGACTTCAAATGTTTATAGTGATGAATATGAGGATCTCCAAAGCATAAAGCTGAAATAAAAGACAGAATTCTGTGGCTGCAGAGGTTTACATCTGGCAAGCCCAACATGGGCCCAAACAGAATCTGCCAGTTTGGGAGCCTGCCCTGGACTGATTATTTGGCAGCTATAACCCCATTACAGAGAGAGCCAGGCTGGCTCTTGGTGCCATGAAGGAGTCAATGGCTGTCCAGAAGCAGGAGAGTGATGTTAACTGTGGCAACACTGCACGTTGCAAAAGATGCAGCCTAATGTTGATGCAGTCTTTCTGAATGCCCTAAGAAGAACTGCTGTGTGATAAGCATGGCCCAAAGAAATCTTCTCCAGTATTGCTAATGCCCCTGCTGGTAGTAAAGTATCTGTCGCCTAATAGGCGATGAGCCAAGGTCACAACAAGGCATGTTTAAAAGTGGAATCCTGATAATGGAGAAGATTCACCACGACTATGATGCCTCCTCAGCAACAGGTCTGTGTGTGCCCCTTGAAAGGCCCTGACAATGCATAGAGGCAAATGTGTTGTCTGCAGTGCAGGCATGCTGTTGCTAAGTGTCCCCTGTCCCTGGATACAGCACAAACTAGCCTGACTAGATTGAGATCTGTGGATGTCCGCCATGTTTGCATGGAAAAAATGTCTACACTTACCCCTGGCAAAGGTGGAAAAGTCCCTGTTAAGGCTATAAGGGGGGATAAGGTGCATGTAGTGCCTGCTATTGTTCCCCCCGAGGCCGCATGGGTAGCATGCCAGGTCCAAAAGGAAAAGAGTAAAAAGAGTTGTCGCAAATCCAGTGCTCTCAAATTAAAATGGTGGGATGTATAGTGGTGGCTGGTAAGACTTTCTTTAAAGAGACAAGCACTGGAAGTGATATAGAGCCAAAGGAAATTTCACCGCTCCAATTCCTTAGCCGCCATCAGGACTTCCCAGGTGCTGGTCTAATAGGTGCGTCTCCACCTTGGAATGTAGTAGTATACGAACAGACCGCACCAGAGAATTCCAATACTTCAGACTTTATTAAAATTCCCAGCAAATCCAGTATATCAGTGAATAAAAGTGAACAAAGCAGCAAATACCAGCACCGCAAAGCCCCAACCAGCTACAACCTCTCACCCGTAGGCTTATTTATACAGGTAACAAATACAGACCAGTATCTCACTTAAATGTGTTCAAAAACTCTAAACTGGCCGGTGCATAAGGTTCAGTAGAGCACAAAGAAACTACTAATCCCATCATACATATTATAATCTCCATACCAACAATACCAAATGAAGTCAGATGTTTTAACTCAATCTCACCAGTCTCCCTGTCGGTGCTGGTATGTGCTGCTTTACACACTTTTATTCTCTGTTATACTGGGTTTGCTGTGAATTTCAATGAAGTCTGAAGTATTGGAATTCTCTGGATAGTGTGGTCTGTTCGTATATACTACTGGAAGTGATATGTTAGTCCTTGGAGAAACTGGCAGTAAAACTTTGCCGTGAAGTGGGAGTGACCCCAGTAGGGAAACCCACTAGGGAGACTTTCCTTTGTGCCCAGTACAGTAGGAAGGCAAGGGTAAAAGTAAACCTGAAAATGATGGAAACCTATATACATGTATATACCTGATTTATTTAAGCAAAGTGCTGATCTAAATGTGGTAGGGGTGACCAGTAGGAAAAAGTGTGCCATTTTCTTTCACAATAGTTTCAGGGTCAACAGAGGTATCCCTAGAAACCTCAAGAGTGCCAGAGCTATGGTTTCTCAGGATAACTGTGGTGCTGCCCTGCTGGGTGAGAGCGTTCCCTCAAAGAGTAATGGAATATGCATATGCTAACAAAAGAGCCGCAGGCTCACATTGTTGGAAATGTTTTAATGCAGTCTGCCAGATGTTGTGTACCAAATCGACAATTTCCTTGGCGAGGTTGTGGAGCAGCTCACTGTTGCTGAGTCAAAGAGGATGGTAGTGGATAAACTGCTTAGAAATGCTCTAGGAGAGTACCAGGCTATTGGCAGACATGTTGGCTTGTATTGACAGACATGTTGGCAGGTATGTATCAATTCTTGAATGTTTAGCCACCATTTACTTCTGTATCTCCCCCTCTGATGGATGGGCTGGCGCTGCGGAGTACAAATAATTAGAACAATACGTTACAGGCAATACTAAACAAAGGTGGGCAAGATTGTGACTGTTTAGTACAATGTTTATTAATGATGATGAAACAGGTTTCACAGTCTACTACTGAGTTGCTTCCAGGTTATTTCGGTGTATGAAGGGAATTTCACAGGACTGTTAGACAAGTGTCGGAAAGCATTTCTATCATCCAAGTCTGGCCTGCTACTTACCATGACCAAGTTATAGTCAAAGGCGCGCTTGCTGTAGCAGCAGACAAATCTTGCAAGGAGGAAGGGCAGAGGAATTGGCAGAAATCTTGTCTGTAACCCAGGAAGGGTTTAAAGAGACAGTATTGAAAAATAAAGAGGTATTGGTAAAAGTGCTGGAGTGCACAAGTAGGAATAAAGAGATTGGGGTCACCAACTCACAAGCAGGTTTCTGTTGTAAACCTGATAAAGCCCCTAAAGTGTTAGAATAAATGTTACATGTGGAGACCTGTAAGCCGTGCCAGAGGAGCCAGAAGCAGTGGCGGAACAATCGCCATAGTGACCCAGGCGGCCGCTATGGGGCCCGTGGCACAGGGGTGCCCGACCAGGACATCCCCCTGATGCTGTGCGGGCCGCATGGGTCGCTATGGCATCTCAGGCTGCTGGCTGTCACTGGCGGCTGTGAGGCAGATGCGGCGCTGTTCACATCACTGACAACCTGTCAGTGATGTGTGCAGCGGCGCGTTCCTCCTCCTAGCTGCTGCTGAGTCAGTGACAGCCAGCAGCTGCTTAGGAGGCGGCTGGGAAAAGCTTTTGGCAGCGGAGGAGGAGGCAGGGCCAAGCGATGGAGGTGGGGCCTGGTGAGGGAGGAGGCGTGGCCTGATGACGATGGAGGTGGGGCCTGCCAGCGACCTTGGTGGAGGAGGAGGCGGACATTGGATCGGGGTTGACAGGTAAGAGGGTTTGACCAGCCCACCTAAGACCCTGCAGAGCCCACCATAGAGAGTCTATGGTAGGCTCTGCAGGGTCACTCTCAGGTGGGCTGTGAGGGTTATCAGGTGGGCGCAACTAGAAATCACAGGGCCCCATACAAAATTTTGCTATGGGGCCCTGTGATTTCTAGTTACGCCCCTGGCCAGAAGAGTTCTCATCTGGTAGCGGTCTTGATAGAGACCCAGATGGTTATGTTAAATGTCAAATACTGGGGCATTTCCCTGCAGATGGTCAGATACCCAGGAAGTTGGTGTGTTCTGAGGTTGCCATGGGAGATAACCACTCATCTGTGTCTATTCCCTTTACAATCACTGTCCTTCTGAAAGCTAAGTCAGAAAAAGAAATGGTTATTGTTTATGACAATGGTAAAAATGTAAATGCATTGTTGATTTCTGATATTTCAGTTACCATGGGAGAAAATAAAGGTGCTTACAGTCCTAATCCTGAATATCCATTTGAGATGATAGAAGGGGCTGAAAGTTGTAGTGAGCTGGGTAACAGATCC